GTTTCGCAAACAGTTCATTTATTACAACCATGGTTTTACCAGTAATGGCATGATCAGGTATTAGTATTAATAATAGAAAACATAAATTTTTAGCTAGAACGTATACTGTGTGTAACAATATTGTTACGCCTCGGTTCGTTAGTTAATTTTCTGTAAACAATTCTTTCGGAAGAACTTTTAGTGATACAAGTCCTTTCTTAAATAAAACTGGTTTATTCTTTCTGAATACAACTTTGCAATACACTTAATTTTCACAGTCACGCTATAACAAATGCTATAATTCACAACGAACGCCTCACGAGCTCGACTCAACAATATATCTCTCTCTGCGCGCAGTTCAATTACCCATTGTTGCCGTCACGTCTTGACCGTCTTATATGTACAAGAATACCGAATCTCGTAACCTCCCTAGACTTCAGGAACGTTCTAGAAGTGCATGACGTGTTACTAGAGTCACGTGACCTCCGCTGTCGTAACAATATATTATTGAATAATCATGTTACATTATTGATATTATTAAATGGAGTTTAAAACCTTCTGTTCTAACAATAGCATTTAGTCAGTAGAGGGGCCAGAAAACAAGCAGGTTTGAAAGGGTAAAGCTGATACCCAATCGAAACTCTGATTGTCTTCCCTTATTTACTTAATTTTAATGTTCACTGGAAATGGATACATCATTATTCTTGATAAACTGAATATACTGTAATTCAAATATCTATACTAATCTTTATTATATTCTATAGGTATTTATTTTTTGTACTCTGTAAAAGAGTATAACTGTTATTTGACCATGATAAATGTTTTGTGAAATTTTTTTCCCAAGTTTGAGGATATTGTACATGATATTACCAAGTAAATACAGCACTCAGATATAAAACAAAGTAGACACAGTGTGAGATTCCTGGGGATACATTACCTGTATCTTACTTTTATAAACCTGTTTTTATTATTCAGTGAAAATGTGAACATTTTATGTTTATCATTCATTTTTAAATAGTTTTTTATACTATGCTCAAATAAAACTAATTAAAGTTTGCATACATTATTATAACACTTAATGTGTGTATAACATATAATATTTCATATAATATAAAATAATTGATGTATAATTTAATACATTATATTTGATATAGAATATTATGTAGAATATTTGATGTAGAATTTAGCAAGTGAATTAGAAAAAGCAGCAAATTTGACTTAGTAAATTTCCCAGTGTCATGAGGAGAGTGGAAAGGCTATTTACATTAGATTGAATTGAGCATTATTACTAGAGGAACCTTGAGGAAGGACACCTGTGCCAAATTCCTTGTAGATATAGTATTAATATAGGTAATGGCACCATAGTCATCTTATGTACATTGGATATTTGGTGTTAAATACAATAATAATGATAATACAATCAAAAAAAGATACATGGCAATAAAAATAATTAAGTATTATGTTTGTTGGTGCACATGCAATAACAGGACTCCATAACTGGAGGGAGGAGAACCTGGTGCTAAACTTCTCTAGTTAAATCAAATTAAGTGATGGTATACACAAAAATATCATTTTTAATAGTACTTAAAAATATAGTCTGTATTAACTTCATCCACTACTGGAATATTGAAACTAATGTTTACTGCTAGCTTATCATTGACATGTTTGTTTCCTGTGCATAAAATAATTAGTATTGTGATAAAGTAGAAAATTGAAAGTTTTTAATCTATATGTTTCTTGAATGTTCAGTTATTATAATGGTTTTAAATTTTGTGTCAAGCAGGTAAACTGTATACCAGTATTAGCAACAGTATTGAATAAGTTGTTCTAAATATATCAAGCTATTTGATCAGCATGTAGGAGGTTTTTAAAAAGTATTTTACTTTATGTGATCATAACAATGGTAGAGATTCATAATAGGGATCACCCATTAGTTCTTCTTTATTACTTAATATTGTTCTGCCAGCCTACAGGAAAAATGGCTGTGAATATTGTAAAAAAACATGAGCAATATTACTAAATGCATCATTGCATATCGTGTAGGGTGGTTTTTAAGTTTATTTTACTACCTAGCAAATACCCTATTTTGACTCCATGTCTAAAACCTGATTTAGGAGAGTCAAAATAGGGATTTGTAGCTTAAGGAAATAATGTCAATACTGTCTCAAACTTTAAGTTTGTTTTCTGCAATTGCATTTTCATTTTAAGCTACATATCTTGTTTTTGAATTTTTTTTAAGATCCATATTCTCACTGTTTAAATCAACAATTTCTATAATCTTGTTAATTAACATCATTTAAGAGTTAAACATATAATAAACTGTATCCTTTTAACCAACAGAGTAAATGATGATCCCCTTGTATTATAACTAATATTGTTTGGAAATTCTAGTATTTTGAACTATGTTGCATTACTATTACAGGTACTTCAGAAAGCTAACCTAACTGTATGAAAAACTGATTAATATGTATCGTACTAGCATCAAACCACAACTCCTTTTATTTCAGTTGTTTCCCTGCGTATTTCAAGTATAATCTCCTAGAATCCCAAGAACACAAGAGTGAAGACGAACTTCAAAATCGTATCTTAATTTGGAATGATAGTTATGTGATTTTCACAGGTCAGTCATGCTATGTGTAAGTATACAAGAGTGTGTGTGTGTGTGTATACTACCTGTATAGACAGGTAAATGAATGGATCTGTTGAGTGTACATGAATAATTTGTATATGTTCTGATCATTTGGTTAGTAACTTATTGTTACGTATCTGCTCGTTTGTTAATTTCCGGTATAAATTCTTT